ATATATGTATATATATATATATATGTATATATATATATATATGTATATATATATATATTTGTGTTTGTGTGTGTTCATATAAACAAATAGGGCCTGATAAACTCCTAATTATATGGTGTTGTTTAATCCTGCTTTGCTTGTTAATTGATCTATTCCTTTTCTTTATCCAATCCTGCTTTGCTAGACACTCGTTCGAGCTAAGTGATGTGCCTGCCAATACAAAAATTATAAAAAATATATAATTTTTTGTTGATGACTCATCTTAGTTACTATCTACTATTGCCATGATTCAAGATCCTAAGATCCTAAAGCTACAGTAGCAACTCAAAATTCTATTTTGGTGGACTTTGCTGGGTAAGGGAGCGGATTAGGCTACAGGAGCCCTTGCACATAGACTGATAGGAGGGGGATGGGGGTGTGTGCGGTATTGCTTGAGGCAGAGAGGGAAGGGATAGGGAGGGGTGGTTTAAGAAGGTGATGAAGAAGGGAGAAAAGAGGGTGTAGGGGATGCTTAATATAGAGAGAGAAGGGAGAGTGGAGGGGATGTGTTGGTGAAGGGAGAAGATATAGATGTTGGAAAATTTGGGGCAACATCACATGCATAGCGGAAGAACAAAAAAATAAAATCTTAAAATTCTCGTAGAAAAGAAGGTTTTATTATCGTGCAAAAGTTGGTGCGCAGAAACCCGTGAAATCGAAAAACTACGCGTAAGAGAATTATTTAGGATTATCGTATATTTCTGAAAACCTATTGATCTGTGGGAGAAGATGAAGGAGGTCAACTGTCGTCTCTAACCGTGATCCACATGTCAGACGCTGCGAAGATGCTCATCAAAATTCTACCCAAAACTCTTCATCATGTGCACCATGTAATCAAGAAGGGGTTGCCCCTACTTGCTGTCCACACGCCCTAAATAGGGGATGTTGTATGAGAGGGAGAGAGGAGAATAGGAGGCAACTAAAATAAACCTCTAGCCCGGGTCTTTGGTTTCCTCTTATTTATAGAGGCCTCCTGTCAACTTAACTCTAATGGATTTTACCATATTGGGTATTAGATCTTCATCCAACTACCCAATCCTCTTAAATTAGTAGTTTTCTACCTAATAATATTTTATTAGCTCTTATTGGATCTTATCCATAGGATCTAATAATTCAAGGGTTTATTGAATATCTAATAAGATAGAGGCTCCAATAGATATCTTATATCCGAACCTCTATTCGTCGCAGCGCCTACCATATGTGTGTGACCTTCTAGGCCCAATATCGAGCTGGCCGTGGGTCATACCTGTCAGGACTCCTTTTGACTCAGTGAATTATTATCTTCATAATAATCCATTCGACTTATCGATTACGGACATACTAGGCCACTACGTCGCAGTCCTTAGACGATACAGGGGAATATAATACTTTGGATCTTTTTATGCTCAGTTATCGTGTACCTATAGTTCCTCATCCATCTAATATCTTAGAGATCGTATACTGGGCATGGTGCTGTCAGGCCTATACAGTTGCCTATACAGTTTCGACATGAGTCTCACTCTAATCGGATTCTCCCGGAGAACTCTTTCTCTCTCAATTCGAATGACCCTGGTTAGGGATTTGTCTGAGTAAGAACACATGAGATATTCCTCTCATGATACCGAGATAGGATGATCCTCTATCGACACTCAATAGCCCTCGTAAGGTTGACTACCACTCCCGATTACCGACTATGCTAGATCTATAACCTAAGACCTATAAATCCAGTATTAAAGAGTGAAATACTTATATAGGACATCCTTGGTGTCTCAAGTCTAAGGACTAGATACACCACTGAGTCGACGAAATCGTTGTTTGAAAATAAGATTTCATTAACCATTCAACATTCCGTGAGTGAATCAATCAGTGAATTCATTCTCCAATAAGCACCTGCATTGTATCCCTAGTGTCCCCACACGAGCAGCTATGAGATTAATCGCATTCATCATATGGACGGATATACAACATACCTGTTTGTCCGGCTATCTCGATGTCTCTTTTGAGTAGCTTATGATCGATATTATTTAGGATCCGTGTTTAAAGGTGAATCGGTCTTATTATCATGATCTTATCACGATCCGATTCTTATTGCACAGATTCATGAACGCCATAATATATTCATGCAACAAACAATATAAAATGATAAAATATTAAATAATAGTAATAATAAGTAAAAAGATTGTGTGTCAAATCACACGTGTCATCACTCATGTGATTGGCTTGCAGGGCATCTATGACTAGCAATAGATGCCCCTAGCGGAGAGAGAGAGAGGGGGGGTTGGAGGAGTGGTAGTGGCTGAAGAGGAAGAGAGAGAGAGAAGGGAAGGGGGAGTGGGGGTTGTTGTTTGCTGAGGAAGGTGAAGAGGTTTTAGGGGGCACATCATCGACTACTGGGGAGAGGTTGTTTGTCATCAACAGCAAAGAGGAGAGTCGATGGTGAGGTGCTGGTGAGATAAGGTTTGTTCTTGCGTTCGTTGAACTGAATCAATTGATTCGGGTTTTAGGAAGCTCAATCAGATTGATTTGAGCCATGCAAGCGCTTTGGACGTTGCTTGGGCCAAGCGTGCACCTAAGCGGGGTCCAATTAAATTCGCCTGCTGGAACAATTTAGAGGTGCTTGGGCCTCGCCTCATGTATAACTTGTTTAGAAAGATTTATGATATTTATGCTGTTGTAAACTTGCCTTTGCCATATATAACTCGTTTATGACAGCTCTGAGAGTTTCAAGAACCATTCTCCACATGATCATTTGTCTTCTTTGAATTCTGATTTTTCTAATACATACCAGGAAACAGCTGGATCTGGTTCTGTGTCAACTGAACAGTCAAATAAACATCTCAAACAAAAGTCTTCATTGGAGGCAAAAACAATATCTCATCCTGATGTGAGTACCTGCAATTATAATGCTTGATGCATATTTATTTACTTCTACATTGATGCTTTAAAGTCATGTTGAAAAAAATCTGATATCATGCTTTTTCTTGTATGTATAGGGTGTTTACATCAGCACAGAAGTTAGCATTACTCATATCATATAGTCAGATTGTTGATTGTATGTTCTTAAGTGGAGTATGCCTTAAAATTTCCTTAAAATTTCAATTTGATATAATACTTTATAATCACATAAATATAATTCAGAACTCTTCTACCAGTCTATTATGGATTTTCAATGATATACACCTAGTTTGGAGATTCTTTTCTTTTTCCTTTTGGCCTGAACTTGCTTTTTGTTGCCTAGCTCTGGTTGTGGAACTACCTTGTGCTAACCCATTAGCCCGGAATGTTGAATTCCATTGTATGTATAATTGTTGTACCCTACATGTTTGATTCTCTTCTTACGAGACCAAGGAAGGATGGTCTCGTTGAACTCCTGCTTTGGTGAGACCAACATTGTATCTGTCTTCTCAATAGTAGTCATTTTAGTATTCAGATAGTTTCTTCATTAATTATTCTGTCCTGAAACACTGGAATTGATTCATACAAACAGCATTGATGAATCAAGAAGGTTGAAAGAAAAAGTTAGAGCAATTATACTAGGCTTGAATTAGAATTATTTAAACAGAATAACACAATGATTTAATTGTTAGGCTTTGTTTATTGTCCACTTTCCCTGAAGACCCTTTGCACTTCACATGCCATGAGCAAATTATAGTAGCATGATAGATGCAGCTAAAACATTTTATATTTTAATGCTAGATTATTCCAAGAATTGATTGGATCATTCCAAAAATTGATTTAGTGTTTAAGATTTCCAATAATGTATATGGAGGAAGACTTTTGAACCTCTTAATCTTTTGGTTCAAAATGAATAAAGGTAATCTCCCATTCAAATTTCTCTTTTACTTATCTAGCAAGGTTTTGTGTGTGTGATCATTTTGTATTATGAAATTCACAAATTCGTTTCATATGTTACTAAATATCCGTACACTACCATTTTACATACTTCTGTACTAAAGAGATTGGTACATACAGGTGTCTTGTATTATTGAATTTGATGGTGCTTCAAAAGGAAATCCTGGAAAAGCTGGTGCTGGAGTAATTCTTCGCAATTTGGATGGAAGTGTGGTAGATATGCAACAACCTTTTATGTGGTTGTATAGTTATCTAAAGTAGTGTTTCCAGTCTTAATAATTTAAGATTCTCCTGTGATTTGAGGAAGATCTCCCGACTTCGAGAAGGCTTGGGTGTTGTGACCAATAATGTTGCTGAATACCAAGCGTTGCTTTTAGGAATGAAGTTTGCCCTAAAGAAAGGATATAAGAAAATTCAAGCGCAGGGAGACTCCAAAATAGTTTGTATGCAGGTATATGTTTCCTTTAATATGGTTATTTAGTTCTTGTATTACTGTTTCCATATTTTATTATCCTTTATGTTCATATTCTGCATAGTGACTCATTGGTTTAAGATGCTGTTTTAAATCTACAAAATTCCAGACTTCCTATTTCTTAACAATTATTCTTTGCTTTTAATAGCAGGAAACTTGTGTTTAGATTTCTCAAACTCATTAAAACTAGTCCTCTTGCCCACATTTTGTGCATTCCCATGAAGCAAGTTTGAAATGCTACGTGCACTTGGCAGTCCCTGTTGCTACCTGATTTAGGGAATTATGACCAGAAGTTTGTTTGTTATTTTGGATTATGTTATCTCATGTTTATCTGTTTGTCAAGGCCATCATGTTCAAACATTTTGGACGATTAAGAATTTTAGAGGGAGAAACTTGGCCTTGTTGCTTCTTTGCAATCTGAGTCAATCAGGTCATGGAAACCCATATTTGTAGGATAAGATTGCTTGTATAGACCCTTTCCATCTCGCATTTGCACGAGTCTTGTGTACTCGGCTGTTCTTTTTTTATGGAGGCAGGGTTTGCTTTTAAGGGTAGCACAATGCTTAGTAAATGCTAAATGGAAAGCAATAGTATGCAAAAAAAGATCCTAATATACAAATAAAAACATTTTTATAACAGAAATATGTTAAATATTTTTTTGATGAACATTAATAATGAAAATCAACAAAAAATTCGTAGAATAAGTTATAAGAGGTGCTATTATTGGTCATTGTCACTTATCAATTATCTGTTCTATTTCTCTGAGATTTCACTCTTCAGTTTATTTCAGATATCCCTTTGTGTAAGGTCAACCACCACTTATTCTCCTATTTTTGTTTATACAATCTTTGTGCTGCTTTGTCAGATTGGTACATTAGATAGAATAAGTTATAAGAGGTGCTATTATTGGTCATTGTCTTTAAGTACATATGATGTCATCTTTGTCACAATCATCATTGAAGCTTTTCAAAGAATATGGTTTTGCATGACTTCTGGGATACTTGGGAATGATGCAACTTGTATGGACACCTTGCAACCTATGACCAAATTCCAAGAATTTGCATAGGAACTTATTGACACAGGCAAAGAATGTGCTGCCATGAGACTCAAATGTCATTTGGCACGTAAAGAACTTATTTGACTGATTGATCCCATATATCAAGGAGGAACACATCAAAGTTCATCGGCAATTGGAAGAACCCACTGGAGTGTAATTATGCTCTTTGATATTGACCTCTGTTCTTTTTTTGACTGTATATTGAATTATATAGTACAAAAGTAGTCTAGTTCAGTAACATCACTCTGCTCTGCTGATGTCTTTCCTTTTACAAAATCACCATGTTACTCTTGAGCTTGACAGTTTTGTAAGAGCCAATTTATGTTCTCTCATGTTTTTTATACACAATGCTGTATTGCTTTCTGGAAAATCAGGTAGAAGACCTCTGGAAAACCAAGAATGCAACTATGGCTGCCTTGTGTCAAGAGGCTAAGGCACTCAAGGAGTCATTTTTGTCATTCCATGTCAACCATGTTAAAAGGGTAAAAGTTGTTTCCACACTTGCCTATTTTGAGTTTTAGCATGTTCTTATTAGATATAACAGTCTAAGGAATATGTTTCAATCTAAATTCCTTCTCAAGATTGGAAATTCTCTGAAACATGTATGATGGCAGATCAGAAAGTAGAACAAATCGAGTAGCAGTTAGGTCTAACATGATAAAGTTTATGCAAGTTAGTTATGTTGATACTAGTACGTGAAAGTCTGCTGCTATGAGTAAGACTGCTTATATTGACCCTTTCTAGAGTCCTGCATTGGTGGGAGCTTTATTCACTGGACTCCTGTTTTCATGGTTCATTTTGGAAGGCTGGTTTGGTTTCTTTTCTTTTTTTTCATTCTGTTCTTCACATCATTTGTGCTTCTGTGAAATTTAACATTGCATTTAGAAGTTCTTCATTTCTTGATAAGTTCTGTTTTAATTAATTGTAATATTACTTACATTAACCCTTCCTAGACTCGCATTGCTAGGAGCTTCGTTCATTAGACTGCCTTTTTTATTGGTGTGGTTAAGCTGTGAGGGAAGGGCCATCATTTTACATATTACAACTTGCTTGTTATTGACTAGTTTTCAAGGAGATGGCATATATATTTTTTGTTGCCTTAACAGAATTTAGTTTTTTAGTCTAGTCACCAACTTCACATTCGCATTCTTATGGTTAATATTTGTTTATTTGCCGATGATTAACCACCAGCCATTAAGCATATATATATGTTGTTTGTTGAAGGAGTTCAATTCTGATGCTGATGCACAAGCAAATTTAGCTGTAGACCTCCCGAGTAAGCGATTAGAACCATTCAATATTGAACTTTTTAAAGTTATTTTTAACTAAATGACGATGCTGATACAAGCTTTCTTCTGCAGCTGGAGAAGTTACCGAGGAGCTTGACTAAGTTTAACGGATTCAAATTAGAGAACACGGTTTGGTTCTGCTTATGGTAAAAACTGACCAATGCCTAACTTGAAGACAAAGGAAGACTGCATTCGTGCATCTGCTGAAGTTTGTCCACTTTCTATCAATTTCTCGTCTAATGATGTTATGTGTAAACCTTATACCATGAAGCAGGAGGGACGACTTGATTACGATGCAGACCCTACTTTAAAGATATTCTAAGCATGTATTCGACTGTGTTGGCTTCTGTTTGAGCTTTTAATTCCCAACCGCTGTTCAATTGCTCCATGCCCAGTCTTTGGCAAGTAATATTATTGTTTCTAACATAATGCATAAATTTATGTAATGAGCTCGAGAACTGGTTGCATGCTAAAGCATGAAATGTCAACCACCATCTCGGCACTTGAGAACAATCGGGTAGTAGGATGGTGATGCTAATATCAGCAGTCTCAGCATTTTAGATCAAACAATCTCGGGTGGTAGGATTGTATCACTACCCACGTCATTTGCTTGTCCATTATCATTTGCCTGTTCAATGCTCTTACTGGTGGTTAAAAAAGGCATGTTTTGGACTGTTTACAAGTTTACCGATGCAGTCTGAACTATCAAATGAAAAAAATGTTATAGATCAATTTCCCCAACAGCCCAATAGAGCAAAGTATGAAATGAAGTTTGTGGATTTACAAGATTAAACAAACATAGGCTGTAGGAGATTATTTGATGCATCACGCCATTACTCTTGAGCTCTCTTCTGAAGATAATCTATGATTTCTTTGTCACGATTCATACAAACAACAGCTGCTAATAAAACAGGTTTCTACTTCCGCTCAGTGTTCTTTTTTGTCTTGTACCAGAGAATCAACTGATCTGAATCATAGAATTGCCTCAATTGCTTCCTTCCAAGGTTTTCATCTTGAATGGAAAAAAGCTACACGTCAGCTTCGTAATTTCTAAATGGAACAAGAACTCCATTGAGCCTCTGCTGCCAACCATCGAACCAGCGCTTGCTTCAGACAATTCCTGCGACACCCAAATCTTCCCAACAGCTTCAGTTTTGATGATAGGCGTTTTTGAATTTGTAGACATGGCAAAAGACGAGTACGATTTGCAACTAACAATCATCTCAGCTTCTGCAACAACAGAATGATCATTTTTCAGTCCAATTGCCTCATCTTCCATCCAGCAATCATGCTAGAAATTCTCCCCTTACATTTCCTGTGCTTCAGTTAAAACCTCCTTCATCCTTCATATTCTTCCGAGACCACATGTGGATAATTTGGACTTGGAGTTCTCTGATATGCATGCAGATCATGAGTCCATTTAACCTCAAGCGATACTGCTTTTCTAAAGATGCACCACAATTACTCAAAACAGCTTGTAAGTTATAAGACAGCATATCTATTCCATTCGACTACAAAAAATGTTGTGACCCACCCTTGTGTTCCATTCCATCAGTTTTCCAATGCCGAATCCGCTTCTGGTTGGGAGTGTGTCAGCAAAAAGAGAGCACTTCCAACCCAATTTCTCACTTCTGCAATATTTTTTCTCTACTAACTTTTGCAGCCTGCAGTACCAAAATCAGGGAGATTAATGGCACTCTTCTCGCTTCTGCAATTATTTTTTCTCTACTAATTTTCCACCAGTTTTCCGCTTCGAGCATAGAAAGAGTTGCTTTTCTCAAACTTTGCAGATAACCCTGATGAATCACAGAAAACTTAAAAAGAATTCACAAGAATACTGGAGTCTTAACTCTTATGGAGAAGTAGATCATTGGCAAAAGTCGAGTATCAAATCTGGAGTTTGAGACTTGACTGAACAAATGAGTTCTCTTATCCAATATAATCTGCCACCTCAATATCCTGTCCAAGACAATCTGTTTCGAGATTCCATCTAACCCAATCTGTAGAGATAGCACTTCTATAATCTTATTGTTTCTCTGGCATGTATTTTGATGGCCAAGTATCTAAAGATACCATAGTTTTTGCCTTTCTCCAAGGATGTGATAGCTATAGGTTACATCTCCAAGTTCTCCCAGAATAACAATCTACCTTCCTACATTTTGATGCCATATAGCTGAGACCTTTTATGCAGCACATGCTCCTGATCTCTAATGAGTGCAACCAACTCGTTCAATACCTCATAGATGAGCCCAGCTTGGGGATGAACCCTATCTTCCACAACAAAAATGTGAACCTCCTTCTCAACCTCAATCCAACTTGAACCTGTATCCTTCTTCACCCCCATCTCCTTCATCATCTTCAAAATTCTAGCTCGTTCTTCCCATCTCCCGTCGGATGAATATATATTTGCCAACAGCACATAAGCAGCGGAGCATTCTGGTGCAATGAGAAGCAAGTGCTCTGCTGCATATCTTCCCATTTCCAGATTTCCATGAATGCTAGAAGCACCAAGCAGTGCCTGCCAAAGATGAGCATTAGGATTCAAAGGTAGATCTTCTATGAACCTCTTGGCATCATCCAAAAGTCCGGCTCGGCCCAGCATGTCCACGACACAGGCATAATGTTCCATCCTTGGCATGATTCCATGATCCAAGGACATCGACTTTAAGAAGCCCATACCTTTCTCGATAGAACCAACATGACTGCATGCATGAAGCAAGGATAAGAACGTGACATCCGTCGGCTCCATGCCTTCTGCTTTCATATGCTCGTATAGCCGAAGTGCCTCTGAACCATGACCATGACAGGCAAAGGCTGCTATAATTGAATTCCATGACACTGAATTCTTAATCTCCATTTGTTTAAAAATTTTGGAGGAGTCCTGCAATTCGCCACATTTGGCATACATGTTGATCAGCCCATTGGAAACAAAAACATTCGATCCCAAAGACTTCTTAACGGCCAACGAGTGTATTTGCTTGCCTAGAGAGAAGGGTGCAGAGGGACCAAATGCACCCAACACAGCTGAGAACATGTTTGCGTCCATCTCCATCCCGGACCCAACTATCTCAGCAAAAAGCTTAAATGCTTTTTCCTCCAATCCATTCTGTGACAAACCAACTAAAATCAACGTGAGGCAGACATCGTCAGGATGTTTACAAGCCTGAAAGAGCTGAAGTGCAACTTCCATCATGCCACATTTTGCGTACAAATCCATTAGAGCGCTCTCAACACACAGATCCGTGAGAAACCCAGACTTCACTATGAGCCCATGAATCTGTTGTCCTTCATGAAGGGCAACCAACCCAGAGCATGCAAGTAGTGAACTTGAGTATGTCAAAGAATTAGCTTGTTCAACACGACGCATATGTTGAAACAGCGCCAGGCTCTCCTTGCACATTAGGCTTTGAGCGAGTCCAGAAATCATAGCGGTCCATGTTATGACATTTCTCTCCAGCATTCCGTCAAACACCTTTTGTGCTGAATTCGAGCACCTATGTTTGAAGTACGCACTTATGAGAGCATTCCCTACTGAAGTCGCCTGCTCGTAACCACTACGAATCGTCAAAGCATGCACCATTGTGATCCCAAGAAGGAGTTCCATTTCCACATATATCGACAAAACAGTCGTGAAGGTCGCATGGTCGCAACTCCCGATCGCAGAGCGGCGCATATCCCTGAAGTACCGGAACCCTCGTTCCCAATCATTCCTAATCAAACAGCCTGAGATGACCGAATTCCAAGAAATCGAGTCTCTGTACCGCATTTGATCAAACACCTTCGTTGCATCAAGCAGCAGGCCGCATTTGGAGTACATGGAGATCAGCGCATTCCACACAACCATGACGTAGCGATGATTCCTACAGCCGTCGAAGCTAAAATGGTCGGCATTTTTGATGATAGCAGCGTGAAGCGATGAGCCGAGACGACACTTGGCATCCCGACCACAGAGGGAGAGGAGAGAACTCAGCTGTGGATAGTTGAGAGGCAGACTCCCATGTCTCATCTCCTTGTAGCGTCTCGAATCAACTGCAAGCCGAAACAAATGGTCGAAATCACAATCTTTTCACTAAATTTCCCTCCCTAATTCATATTCCTAACTTCAAAAATTCTAAAAAATAATTAAAATTTAGAAAAAAAAATAATTTTAATTATGAATGAAAACAAAACCTCAAAAAAGAAAAAAAAAATCAACTAAATTTTTATCCAAAATAAATTAGTCAATAATATAAAATAAATAGCTAATCCAACATAGTCATCTATGACTTAAATATTTTCAAAAGTCCAAAATATGGTTTCTTAGCTTAGTCATCAAAGTGTCACCCAGTGATTCTACTTCAAGAAGTCCATTTGGTATCATCATATTCAAAGTTTCAACACTGATAGAACGAAATAAATAAGAAGAAGTAACAATAGAGAGGATGACACGAAGCAGCATATATAGTAAGCAAATGAAGATATGTGAGGAGATGAGACGAAGACGATGACGAAGAGAGAACATTGTAGGAAACCATGATGCGACTTCACTCTTTATCCAAAGCAACAGGATAACCATCACATGAGTCACCGTTGAGAGTGAGATCTTTGGTGCAGTCCCATCATGTTTATATTCGTGCTAGTCTTCTTCTTCTTCTTCTTCTTGAGGAAGTCGGAGTACCAAAGTGCAGAGAGCTTAGGTTGTCTTCTGCGGTTTTCATCTTTGAAATCCACATGGTATAGTCCGAATGGTGACTGAAACCCAGACAAGAACTCGAAGACATCTAGAAATGACCACACGTAGTATCCTTTCACATTGGCTCCCTTCCTACAGGAGGATGAGAGAGATCTATGAAGGTATGTCTCGCTTCCTTACTCTTACGCATAGGAAGTGGATGATTGGGAACAATACCTAATACCATCGAGCGTGCTGCCAATGTAACCACTCAAGTAGTTCGCCCTCTTGACGTCGGAGATTGTGTTGTTTAATCCAAGCCCATAACCTGCATGCATCAACGTTCAAACATTTCACACCGTGTGATAATGCAGTTCGAGTGTTGAAGCGAAGCAGCAGTGACCATTTTCTTCGATATAAACCGGAGGATTTCCATAAGCGTCTCTGATGTACTCCAACAGATGTTGCAGGCCAGCAGGATCGAAGGGTATGTCAGTAGGGACTAACTGGCTCAGATACCACACACACACACACATACATTAGTCAACTCAAGCTTGATCATGGTAAAAGAAGAGGTTTCGGTTTACCTGACTGCCTGGTGTTTCGTTCTTTGAAACTGCATGCATGAAGGTGGCAACGATCCATTAGGAGAGCGATCGACGAACTGCCTTAGAACTAAAGGAAGAAGAGGACTAACTTGCGAATTTGGCAAAGAGATCTGCGTTGAAATCACGAGGTGCAGTCTCGGAGGCATCGGAGTTGTCCTTGACCCAGATCGATGAATAATGATTCAGGCCGATGAAGTCGAATGAACCCTTTAGTTGCTCCGATTGCTCCTCCGTGAAGGAAGGGAGCCTCGAGCGGACAATCTTCTTCATGACCTTTGGGTAGTCTCCAAAAACCAGGGGATTTATGATCCTAATATTGAACAAAAATCAGCTGGTATATGATTCCTGTGAACATGTAGTTTGATTGTGAGCTGCACTTACCAGCCGACGAAGAAGTCCAATAATCTTTGGGTTGCTTGCAAGTCTAATGTTGAGTTCGTCGATGGATAACACCACATGGAGTACACATTCAAGCCTATCCTCCCATTTTGTTTGGCCTACGCAAGAAGCTAGCATAAGTCCCATTTTGTTTGACAAGCATTTCAGTGAGTGGATTGCTAAGTCGAAGGATGAAAACCCCATAGATTACGTTGTGTAATATGGAAGGAAGATGAAAAGAAAAGGTGAACTAACTCACTTGATACTTTGTTCTGTACAATGAGACAACAGATGCATGCGCCAATAAGAAGTTGTGAGCTGCAGTATATGGCTCGGTGGTGGAGTCACCGACGGTGCAATTGAATAAGCCGAAAGGATTAGAACATCGGCTGGGTGGAAATATTGCACTGTCGAATGACCCTATCGCTATAACGTTAGGTTCGACGATGGTGGTCCACTGAGACACCCTATCGCCGAATTCTCTGAAGCAGACATCGGCGAATGCTGTGAAGTCCTCCCTGAGTTGCATAACCAAAGACTAATTAGTCTCAGATTAATTGAATCAGGCAAGCAAGTTTTTATAAAATTAATTTAAATAGTTAGGATCATATACAACAAAAGAAAATTTAGATTAAGATAGATAAAGGAATGGTTGGGCATTTCTTTCTTGTTTAACAAATTATATTTTATTCTTTAGGCTAATATAAATATGTGTTCTTGGATGAGTCGAGACACTAAATATTAAAGTACTCCTCGTCTTTTTTATTATTTTTCTTCATTTTTTTAAGTTTTATAAAAGAAGACCAATAGGAATATGTCGAGTAAAAACGAAGGAGAGACTAGTAAATTCAGAAGGAAAAAAAAAAGAAGAAGATGATAGGCATAAGAGTTTCTAATCAAATTCTTTCTATTTTCAATGGTGAAAATTATTAATTTTAGGCTTTTATAACTCTATCTATATTGTAAAATTATGAAATTTGATAAAAAATAGTTTTTATTGAATATGATTTGCACGATCCTAATATTATTGAAGATAAAAAAGATCAAATAAATAAGAACATACGAAAAAAAAAAAGAGCTCTCTATATGCTAAAAATAAGTTCTTATTTTTCTAAATCATGCTGGCATCAACATCAATAAAAGCATAAAAAATATTAAAAAATATGTTCGGAGATAAACTTTAAAATTTCAAATTCTTTGATATGGAGTAATAAAACTCTTATGATAAAAGATTCTGAATCTATCACCCATTTTTTCTCAAAAGTTTTTTCTATTACAAACCAACTTAGGTCTTATAGTGAAAACCTAAAAAATCAAACAATAGTAAACAAAAAAATTACTAAACTTATCTTCAAAATTTAATATAATTTCTAAAGAAGCTAAAGATACAAGTATATTATCTATTGATAAATTAATGGGCTCGTCATGAATAAAAAATAAATAGATCTTATGATAAAACTTCAAAATATTCAAATGAAGATAGATCAAAAGAAGAATCAAAAGAAAAATTTGGAAACAAATCTCAAGAAAGAGGTTAGAATGGTACAGGTCGTAGATAATCTAGTGCTCGAGGCAGAAGACTAGGCCGATCAAATGAAAGTTATAGGAGGTAACAAAAAAATCCTTTAATATTTTTATTATAAAAAAATTAGACGTATTGAAAAAGATTATTGATATAAAAATAAAAATCTAAATATTCCTTTCTACTCTTACCATAAAAATATGATCATTTTGAAAAAGATTATTGGAACAAAAATATTTTTAATTATTATATAAAATAATAGTAAAAAAGATTAAAAAATATATTTTTTATGATATCTAATGAAGAATATTATAGAACTATTTGATTTTTAAATAATGGATGTAATAATCATATGACAACGAACAAAATTTTATTTCAAAAGTTTGATGGCTCGATCAGATCTACATCGTAGATGGAAAGTAGTAAGGCTCAGGTGCAAGGGAAATGAACAGTTATTTTAAATATCAAATCAGATAAAAAATTATTAATGATGTAATATTTATTCTTAGTTTAAAATAAAATCTCATTAGTGTAGAGCAATTATTGAGAAAACGGTATTGTGTTATTTGTTATGATGAAAAATATTTGATTTATGATAAACTTTAGGAATACTCCAATGAATATAAATGATAAACTTATATTAAATGATGGAGTTACCATAATAGATGAGAAATAGTATAGAAGTTGATTGGAGGATTATTTTATCCCACACATTCAATATTATGTTTATATTTAGTGATTGATTCATGCACAGTCCTAATAAGCATCACATAGTTAGGATTAGATGTGACAAAAGATATGAATTTTGAATAACATAAATAAATGAGTAATTGATTTTTCAGTGCATAGATGAGGATGATGAGGTTTGTTGGGCTATGATTTATACCTTTCTTATTTAAAAAATTATATTTTATCTTTTTGGCTAATGTAAATTAGTGCACTTTGCAAGTACTTCTTGTTACTTTTGGTAACAAGATAAAAGGATGGTGGCTTACACAATTTTATGGCTCAGCCATCCTTCGTACTCGTCTTCAAGTACTTGTGGAAGATCATAATGATAGATTGTCACATGTGGCGTTATTCCTGTGTCATAAAAGAACAAAACAAGAAGATAAGCAAGAATTTGACATTATCAATGTTTCATTGAGAACAAACTACAAGTATACTTCATTCAGGAGATGTGATCACCATATCTCAGTAGCTCATCGATGAGATTGTTGTAGTAAGCCAAGCCTTTCGGATTAATGGCTCCTCTTCCATCTAAGGAACAAAAGATGACACATAGGAATCTAAATCTCGCGTTCGGTTTTGGAATCTCTCAAGAAGTTAGATGTGTCATACTCGGTAGAAGCCTCGACCAAGAGATGGAGAATCTGTAGGAGTCGAGTCCTGTATCAACCATTAGCTTCACGTCTTCCTGCATGGCTAATTTCACAGTTCAGACTACTTTTCGATGGTAATACTATCGCCATTTATCATCGGTTTGCTAGACGGTATAAGAGTTTGGAAATCCTCGATCATTGTACGGTCATATATGAGATTGTAGGTTAGTTAAATAGGTTTGGTGTTGGAAATCCTTGATCGAGAGTAGGTCAGATATTTTTTTCCCATGTGTTTTCTACATATCGACAGTGTTTACTGATGAACCCATTATGTTCTAAAAGCCTGTAGCAGTTTATACTTGTAATGGGACTTCCAATAATTGAAGAGGGCATTAAGTGTGTGTGTATATATATAGATATATAGAATGAAGGAATAATGAGGTAGAGAGGAGGGATATGGACAAACCTTATATTTGTGGTATTGATCGGAAGTCACATCTCCTGTGCTATTGTCCAGCATTCCCCCTGTCACTCAGAGGTAGAATCTACAGGTCACATCAACAATGAGATTGACAGGACGAATAACTTGTTCTCTCAACCTGCACGAGTATACGTATCCCATATACTTGGAGTCCTACCATCCTCAGCAGCAGCACCCTCCACCTGCACATAGATATATGCATCGTGTAAGAGCACAAGGAAACTTGCACCAGCTGCGAGGATCCCATGAATTCTCTCTTTTGTCTCAGGTAAGTCGAGCTAGTGAACATTGTCGCTTGTAATCAAGCAGCAAACATGGCATCGACGAGAGTGAGTGAGCGAGCGAGTGAGTGACCTGGTAAGCCGAAGTTCCTGCTCCAAAGATGAAGCCCGGAGGGAAGTCATCCCTGCTGAGGTTGGATTCCGCGGTTGGCAGCAGCAGCACGAGGGTCGCCAACAAGGCCAAGCTCTCCTTCCTCATCTCTCTCTTCTTCGTCTGGCTTCAGCAGGGTTCCTATCGATAAGATTTTGTATCCCAAGAGCCAGGAATGTGAGGAGGAAATAGAACCAGCCACATTGCGTTTACTCGATTGTTTGTTTCGCGAACCACCACGATAGGATATGGAAGCCTGGAATTAAGTGGGCCTGATTCGGCTTTTGGGCCATAGAAATACTGGGCCGAAGGTGTCCACAAAGATCACATGCCTTCTTTAACACCAACCAAATTCTCCATTGCTAAAAATTAATGCATTATTGCTTGATCTTTCACTAATCGAAGTCTCATTTTTAACTTCTTTTGCTCAATTATTTAAATTATACTCAATTAAAGAATCAACTTGAAAACGTGTTAAATTTAACAAAAAAAAACACCCTAAAATATGTGAAAGATTTACAACCATTAAACTTATTAATATTTGCAAATGAAAGACATCCAAATGCAAGGCACATTCAACTCTACACCATAAGGACAACATAAGCTCGTTAGTAGCATACAGGGTTTAAGGTCAATGACATGAAAATAAATTTCCATAACGAGGTTTAAAAGTTCACATAACCAGAATTTTCGGTTTTCAGGAAAAATAACAAATCTTCTCAAAACTGCAAATCCACAGAAATGAACAGCATGCAGAAATGATGTCTTAAAATATCTAAACTCCTATGTCCTAACGTAAGCACACCGAAGATGAATAGGCATTCTTATCGAGCATGTTACGGAATAGATGAGAAGTTCTTAGTGTCAATCATAGTAGTGAGGTGTGGACTGCACGCATAGTTCTTCGTCGTCGTCGTCATCCTCATCATCAACTGCACCCACCCAATTACTCGGATGATGCTGTGAATAGGGATTCCCATGCATGTCTGCCCTATCTGCAAAAGAAGACATGAAAAGAGACGAGTCATTCAGATTTAAGAGCCTCGAGTTTCTAAAGATTATTATGCTGATATCAAACCCTGAGTTTTGTCCCTGTCATCTGTTTCCATAGGCTGCTGTCTGCAGCAATATAGTAAGGGCAACATTTAGGCTTCTGGCATATATTAATTTATAACAAACACATCATGCCTGAAATTATGTAACAAGACATTTGATGAAGAAAGTATGTTCGAGTTTATGTTTTCTGAATATCCCAACTTGAATTCCTAAAACAGTACTTACTATTGCAATTCGCAAATTGAGTTCTAAAATATATGTATTCCAGTTACAAGACAGAGTATGCAAATCTACATATGATCATAGCATCAAACAAAACCACCTTAATCAACCCACTTAGTTCTATTATGTGAATCATGGTTCTTATTTAAAGTGACAATATAGACTTCACGGTCAAGGATATCTGAGATATTTGTCTATATCAGTTTTTACAGTGCTTCTGCATTGGGATTAGTTACCAGCTTTAGTTTGATACAAAGGCAGCATTAAAAGTCAGGATATCAGTTTATTCTTCTATGAAGCAATTAGATGTCTCTATCAATCTTTATCACATCACAAAAATCAACAAATCTTTGATTTTATTCTAATTCTGTTCTATTACTTACGAAACACTGAGCTACCTTGTGAATGTTTAGAAAGGTCACTAAGACAGGTATAAGGTTTGTTTATTAGAATTTTAAAGCAATCATAGAACTGTATATGTATGTTCAGTGCAGCTAGAGTGGCATGAACTGTGTGCAGAACCGTACAACTACATCAAAGAAGGGCATGCACTAGCATTTTGCATGCTGTCTGATACTTGCATACAGTCTTTATCTAGATTATTTATCAAATCTCATACCAATTTGAGTTAGAATCGAAGCATACAAAAGTCAAGAAAAAAAAATTGGAGTGAAAAGAAATATTATATCCGAGGATCATAAATGAGCATGATGCCCTTTAGAACCAAATGAAGAACAACATTTTACAAAAAAATATTAAAATATCACCACATATGCTCAAAATACAAAACTTTGTTGAGAGCTTTAATTAATTAGTTGTTCAGATGTAAAATGAAAGTTTTATCATGTTGGTGCTCATATAAGACTCTTGTGCCATTGATATCACTGTAAAAGATCACAAGAACAATGATTTCTTGCTCTAATACCAGACTGTTAAGGTATGCTTCTAGCATGTACTACCTCAAGTTGAGGAGAGATAGAACACATCCCAAGAAAAAATAAGAGGGAACAAGAAGACAACTACCCTAAGTTAAATTGTTATTAAAGCACAACTAGATAATAATTCCAAGACTGCTCTCGGCCTTACAGTAACTCCTATAATTAGGCTACCAATACACAAACATAAATCTTAAATTATGAATTATATCTAGTAGTCTATTGAAACATTTTTTGATTTTTTGAATAATATTTATTTATTATAATTAGATCTGATATGATAGTACGTGCTGCAGCTTTCCTTCTCTGATCACAAGTTGATCCCTCCTCTTGGCTCTAATTAGCTCTTGGACCAATAAGCAAAACTTGCAAATTCCCTCGATGGAGGAAGCTACGAACGACGACGTCATGGGTGGACTGTGAAGAAAGCTTCAGATGTTTCTGTCAGTGGAGAAAGAAGTTGCGATCCTATCCCTCAACGGTGGAAGGAATTATACACAAAAGCAATGGCAACAGAGGGAACTGCACACGAAAGCTACACCAACGAGACTTTTGGACCATTTGTCGGTGGTAGAGGAAGCATTGGCCTTATGCAACGGCGGCGGAGATAGTGATTGTGCACGAAAACAATAATGGGACCAAAGGTGAGTAAGGGTAGCAAAGTATTTACGGTTATGGATCGGAGGTCACACATTGGAGGGGGGGAGTTTACTATTATGCTTAGTCGGTTCGAATGCTTGCCTTCAAATAGGCACTTGCCCGAACCCAGGTCAGGCGCTCACCCAAGGAGCCTGATGCCTAGGTTCGAGCGAGCACCCAGGCGACACTTCACTGAAGCATGTCCCTCGGCAACTACACGAGGTGCTTGAGCCTCGCCTCGCTCGAGCGCCTACGTGAGCACCTGGGTGCCTTTTTAAAAGGCTGGATGAGGTCTACTAAATAAAATTATGCAACAATGATACCTTTGACCAAAAAAAAATTTAAAAAAGAGAAAAATCGTTCAACTAATATTATCAATTTACAATAGACACTAACCGGTTTTTACTTGCCTGACCAAGGACCACATTTAACCATATGGTATGGACGGTCCTTATTATTAAACCACATGGTCTGGTAACGGTTTGTATTATTATCTTTTGGCTAATATAAGACAATGAGACAAGTCAATACACCACCTAGTATACTAGTATTATTATTGTATAGCAGATTCTGAAAACTAGTATTGGATCAAGACTATAATTCATGAGTTAAGGTGACTCATAATCTAGAACAAGACAGGATCTCAAGCCTCACTATACTTTTCGAGAGTTCTATCGATCTGGGGTTGGTGCAGCAATGGCCAAGGCAGAGTTGTGAAGGCAGCTTGAGAAGATTCCTATCGAGAGGCAACTCTATTATGTAACAACTCACAAAGAATCAGGATATGATCTTGATCCATGACTTGAATTGGCTGATTCTTCAGACATAACTGATATTGAACTTGGCTATGCAAAATGAAGACAAGAGAATGCTATTGTGGTAAAGAAGAAAGGACTCTATTATCCTACATTCTATTATATTAAACAATTGTTTTTAAACTATTATTGGAACTATATTGAGAATCAAAGCTTACAAAATATTAAAAATAAACCAATTATATATTTCGGTGTGTATCTAGAGTTTTTTTCCTAATCAACTTGCTTCTTGTGACTTTTTCTTGTTTTAACCATGGAGAAACCAGATAGAGAAAAGGAGTCTCAATTTTACTAGTCTTATCACAATGTTCATTGTGTGAATACAGGTTGTAGACATAGCAAAATCACATAGCAAGTTAATTATGGCATATAGGTTAATTACATTTAACTCTCACTGCTACATAATGTGACTAAGCTTTGTAGAAAAGTATTTTATCAAGACTGAGACTTAAAACTAAATAGATTAATTCAAATAATAATGGATGAAAAGGGCATAAATATCAGGATACGTATCCAGTATATCTTCCTGGGCAGCAGGTACTCTTGGAACATTTATCACGTTAGGCGTCTGTTGATCATTTGGTATGCTAGAGCTTGGATTTCCTTCATCTTGAACCTGTTTACCTCTAATAGTATCAGAGCTCTTGGCAGCACTACCTGTTGCAGGATTAACATGAGTAACTAAATTGACATTATTAGATAAAACAAAACATTGAGCATAAATAGACACCTGAGAGCTCTGACCAGATTTTGGTGTGATTAGAAGGATTGTCAGAAACTGGTGAGGCGTTAGCAGCCCTAGAACGTTCTAATTGTGGCACTGGAGGAACTGATGGTTGCTCTGTACTGCTTCCAGCATTCAGTTGTGATACTAACATAGTTGCAAGAACTAAGGTGGCATCAAAGTCTGAATCTGATGCATCATCAAATCCAAATCTTGGTGCCATTAAGATAGGTCTGTCCATCCAGAGGATATGTTACTAGAGAAATAACATGGCAGAAGACAAGATTGAAGTCATGAAATACAAACTCACTCTCCAGCTTTTTCGAAAAAAATATGAATGTTCACTTCACACCCCTCACAGAAGGCTAGAAAAGCCTAATTTGGAGAAAATAGGGACAAGTAATTAGATTATTTATGAACTGCAAATTCAGAAGAATACAGAAGAGAAAGGCTATGTGCAAATCAAAAGCTTTATATATTACAACACATTTAATTGGAGTGTGGGGTGACCTATACTGATTCAATCAAGATAGAGGCCCATTTTCCTGCATGAAACATATCGGTATGAAGTCAATATGTTTCATATCAGAAAAAGCACAGCATGAAACTGGAAACTCCTGCATTCAATATATTTTTATGGAGTCTGCAAACACATCAGCATGAAATGAACCTAAATTCTTTATGGCTTATGCTTTTGCTCTCTTTCTTTCAATTCAGTATCTTTGTGTGTCCAGATACTGAATAGCCAATGCCATTCTTGCAGTGCGATAGAAACCTGCTCTTTCGAAGTCTAACTACTCCAATTCCAAAAGATTTTGATTTCCTAGGAACTAACATCACACGGAAAGGCAAACATTCATATAGAACAAGAAAAGGAATGATTACTTTCAGTTCCTTCACACCAAATGTGACATCCACCGGATCCCCAGTGTGCGTATACTGAAAAAATTCCTCTGCCGGGTCAATCCAAAGCTGTGTGTGCAGTGTCGCATCACTATTATCTACACCACAAAGCATGAGAGAACAACTCAACCAACCCAGAGGCAATTATCCAAACAATGGAAGCCCCAAGACCAAACCTTTAGTAGGATCTATGTAGCTCCGAAGCTCCACGGCCTTCCGCCCGATCTCATCCCTAGAATCTGATGGCGCTGCTGACGTCTCAGTAGCGATAATGGTGATCTCCTGCAGCGATGACTGGAAATTAGCGAGCAACCGTGCCAGGTCACGCGGCCGAACAATGAGGCTGCTCGGAAATCGCCGTCTATCAAGCGACAGCTGCTGCACGTCAGGATCCACGTTGCAGGTGATCCAGTACGTCTTCTTCGCACCTGAAAGCGAGCATCAGAGAACCGATAAAGAAACGATTTTTACAGTAGGGAAAGGGGAAGGGGAAGGTACCGACCGCTGAGGCAATGGAGGGTGCATTGGAGCTTGGCGGCGTCGGGAGACGGGAGGGCAACGGCGAAGCGGTCGAGGGCGGCAGCGGGGGTGCGGAAGACGGAGCAGAGGGATTTGAGGAGGACGCTGCATCGGACGGAGGAGGAGGTGGAGGAGAGGATGTAGATGTCGAAGGAGCCAGGGTGGAAGGAGACGGTCTGGTATGCGGAGCGCGAGGAGTTGAGGGTATGGAGCTCGAGCTGCGGAGAAAGGAGGAGGGTGAGGAAACGGAGTTACGGGCGAAGTGGAGGTGGAAGTGGGGAGAGGGTGGGAGACCTTGGAAGGAGAAGCGACGAGGACGAGCTCGGTGCCGACGCGTGCGAGGCAGGTAACGGAGCGGGTGAAGGTCTTGAGGGCGTTTCCGCTGAGCGACAGCTCCATTCCCCGTGCTGCTTGTTCTGTGAAGCGGAGGGCGAGCAACGCTCTCGGGGCTTTCGAGGGGGTGTGGGAGAGGGCGCGGTGGGGAATGTTGTGAGAACATTAGGGTGAAGATTGTAAAGAGGATTAAGATTAATCTTACGTGGATAAAAATTGAAAGAATCAATATATATCTATATATTGTGTTTCACTTATAATATAATGATTTTATTTTTTTAATGTTAAAGTAGTCTTCAACATATGTTAATCCTAATTAATTTAACTCATTGTAAGTTATTATAATTACCGAATATTCCAGTTCTAAAAAAATCTTGATATAAATTTTAATCCTATACTTGTACCCCTACCTCTTTTCATCTCTGCAATATTATTCTCAGGATCAGTATCTACAAGAATATTTATATCAATTTTTATTTTAAGCGTTCAAATATATCAAAATTTATATCCAATTCTACGAATCCCGTTTATACAAGTAGAGAAATGTAAGGTGCCAATCTTATCCACCAAAGTGCATTCCTGCAGGCAACCAATTTATGTATCAATTAAAATTAATCTTCCTCAATTGCAGGTTTGACAGAGTGCATTATAAATCCTCGGTTCAGACATCCTTTAAAACCTCGGCTGAGTTACAAAAAAACACACAGTATGGTCCACATGTCATGTCTCACATCAACTACTACATATTGCAGCTCCATCAGAAACCCTAATTTGATACCTATCATATCATTGTTCTATGAATTCAAGTCAAAGCAGGAACAGAAAATTAAAAAAAAAAATCATGAGCAAGAATGAGACTTGTTGGTTATTGTTCCGTGTAAATTTATTTCTTCAACAGACAAACCATTAGAGATCTTTTTTTTTTGTTTGTGTTGTCACTGATGTTGTTTTTGGTACTCAAATACCCTCAACTAAGCACAAACAGTAGTATGACAAGAATGAGGCGATGCACTTTTAAAGCTCAAGGGCGTCCGTTTGCAGGTAGTTGAGCACATCATTCTATTCCAGCAAAGAAAGGCAAGACAGCAATGAGCGCATCACCGTAGCCAACTGCTTCTGCAAGTCCAAAAAAGAAAAGATTGTGAATCGAAAGGGAAACTGAATACGTCTATCAAATTTGAGGACTAATCAATAAGAACCTTGATTAGAAAAGTCTAAATATCTAAAAATACTTCAGAACAATTAAGAACAGTCCCAAGTGTTCTTAAAGGATGAAATGCTAATTATAATATGTGCAAGGAAACATAATTTTATATTTTCATTATGTAATGCCAGTAATAAGGATCGAAATGCATGGCAAACATACAGGCACATTGGGAAGGTATACTAATGTATAATGTTTGATCGTCAGCAAGGTGATTAGGACCTTTCCAAAGCATTAAAACAACCATCCATTTCTACTAGAGTTAAGTGGACTTTTGAGAGACAAGTCAAAAGTATGACAAAAATGCTTGTCAAGTGAGACTGTGTGTAACGTTGATGAGGTGGAGCTGGAGCTAGGGGTAAACTGGCACTAAATTGCCTGCCCACAAACATGATTAATACCAGACTCACTGCAATTGAACATGAAGCAGGTGAATGGGTTAGATATCAGTTGGTCAAGGTATGGATGAGTTTAGTGGTTGACTATGGAGAACAGTAGTGAGGTGTAGGTGATGCAAACTGGCATCGAGTATTTAAGCTAGACATGCAATGGGACTATGGTCATCATCTTGTTCTTTCTCACAGAGTCAACTACTATCTACAGAGTAATAAAATGTGACTCGAATGACAGATTGGGGAATCACATACTTCGCCAACTTGATTAGTTGAACTAATAATGGAAACCTGGAGCAATAAATTCCGACTATGATTGGCTTTTTCGGTACATGAATTATTTAGTTTGATGTCACTCAGAAAGTCCTCCACAAGTATACAATATAAAAGAAACTCGAATCTTGACTGAAATGGAAATTCTAGTATACCTCCATCCTTGCATAGGATCTTTAGGACTTCTCCAGCTACATTGGACTGAAAAATGATCATAATAAGAGCATGAATTGAAGTAAGAAAATGTGCGGATTTAATATTAGTTTGAAGAGAATGTGTCAATAATGTGTCAGTATGATGTGTCACAGGGTTTGTGGTGGATAGCACAAACGAAAAGTACACAAAATGGGGTACTGGCAAATCCTTTGGCACCACATGGATATCCGAGACACCATCTCAAGAGCATGGATACCATGCTTTACCATCCCTGCATGGCTGAAATTATCCAAACCCTAGGAAACTCAACTGCAATAAAATGTGACTGTGAAAGGTATACAAAACTTACCCTAATAGGCAGCTCATTTCCAAACTGATCCAAGAAGCCAATGGCCTGCCCTTCTTTGATCATGTCACCCTGTAAGAGGAAATGTCCTCATGCAAAGGTTTTAAGAAGTTTTGTGTGGCAAAATGCTAGTTCCTATAAGAACAAAAACAAGTCAAATATGCAAAATTACCACTTCACAGCATGGAGGTTGCTTCTTTCCCTTGAGTGTTGTTCCAATTCGAAACGTTCCCACCTGGACAATTAAACCATCAGCATTATACAAAAGCACTGACTTGAACACTTCAGGTAACAGTATACACAAAGTCTCTCAGGCAATTCACACCGAAGGAGATGATATTAGAACATATGCATTTGAACTGGAGGCTCCCAGAGCTGCAAGTTTTAACGCCTTTGAAGAATAGATGTCTGAAAATGGACTTGTTTCTGGTAGAACAGGTTCCTTTGGAACGTCTTGTTGGGCAGGGGCAATAGTTGACACACACATTGGCTCACTTGGAATTGGTGGTGCTGTAGTAGGTGAGACAATCGTAGATATAGTAGAAGTTAAAGCTTCTGATATTCCAATGTCTCTTTTCAGATGCATTTCAAAGTTGCCAACCTAAGACATCCATGAATTTGACAGTAAAATGTTCTGTATAGAAAACTATGAGAAACAGAATAATATCATGAAAGATTGCCATATATTTCTAATTAATTTTATCTTAACCTGAAGCATTATAATTAAAAAACCTTGATTCTTAAAGTGAGCAATAACAAAAAAAAAGAACTAGCATATGACCTGTGAAGAATACCAAAGTCTCTAACAGAAAGCTTTGGACCATGGGTTTACTCTGTTCTCATAAGGGATAAGACTGCATAAGTTGAACCATGGTTCGAAATCTTGGATATCAAACCCATACTGATTCCTGGTTGGGCTGGTGCAGACACAGTTCATATTGGCATCTCAATACATGGTATGTCGGTATGTAGAGGGAGAAGGAGAAGAGGGGGAGGTGGTAGAAGAGGAGGAGAAGAGGAAGAAGAGACAAAGAAGGAAAAGGAGTTGTTGCTAGGGAAAAATCCACAGCAGAGAGACATCATGAACAAAACATGGAATCTTGCTCCAAACTTCAAGAAAAAGAAAGATGTTCCTTTTGTAAGAAAGAAAACCACATAAAGAGAAAATGGAAAATGGGTAGGTGTCACCAGAGAAGATTAAAGAAAGATTGATCTAGTGAGCTCAACTAATGATGCTGAACAGGATGTCCTTGCGGTCACTACAAGTACATTTCTAAAATGGATGGATTATAGGCTCTGCTTCTTCAACCATATTTGCTTTAAGAGAGTGGTTTATACTTTATACCTTTCAATTTATTTGTGAAGTTGGTGGGCAACCCAATCAGTGAGATTTTCCCATAGGAAAACTTAAGCTCAAAATGTTGGAGAAGTGGACTTTAAATGAGTGAGTTATGTTCCTACAATGTGTTATAATGCAAACTTCTAGTGACCCAAAACCCCTCCTCATCAGGGTTTAATAACAAAGAAGGCTCCAATCTTTACTGGAGGACCATTGACTTTGACTGAGCAATGTATGTTCCCAAATTATGTTATAATGCAAATTTCTAGCATATCAAACCCTCTTCATCAGCCCAAAAGACTCCACAGGAGTCGAGGCTTAATTGCCTAAACAAGTTGGTTCTAATGGGCTTCACAACACTTAGTAGATCTGTCAGTGGGTATTGACATCCAGACTAATAAGATGAACAAATTATTAATACGGACAAGATCCAAGCCAAGACCCAGATCCCAACTAGTCCACAACATAAGAGTGTTCTAGTTCTAGTAGGATTAATAATAACCTCATATATTTTGTCTATCTTTTCAGAAGTAATTGTGGAAAGCCGACTTTGAAGTCAAATTACTGTCCAGAATCCCAAAAATGGGTGTAGAATATGTTATGCCAGTTAATTTCCTAGTTAGACTTGTATTATGAGAACTCTAGACTCTTTGTTCGACAGGAATTTTGTGAGATGGGATAAACTTTCCTATAATCATGTAAGCTCTAGTTTCTCCCAATATTACTTAAAAATAAAAGATACCAAAAGGGAGTGGCCACTTAATACAAAGGTCTTGTGCGCCTCCAGAGCCATTATAACTTATTTTAAATTCTACTCTCTGTAGTTTCTTTCTGTCACTCTTTAGTTTTTCTCTATCTTCATGTTCACGATACTCTCTTCGAGGTGTCCTTTCCTTTTTCTAGAATCAAAGCACTCCATATGAGCTGTTAGATCTTAGCAATTTGGTATCCCCAGTTTCTTATCAATTTGGCATTAGACCTAAGTTCCTGATATTAGAACTAATATTTCTATCAATTTCCTATCAAGCCAGATGTCTTAACAATTTGAAGTTCCTATCAATATGGTACCAGAGCTAGATGTTGGTGCCAGAGTAAGCATTTCCATCAATTAATATTAGAGATAGACATCCTATTTAAGTATCCAGAAATTTAATTCTGCCATGTACTTTGGACTGCAAAATCTATAGGAGTTTTGAGAGTAGCATGTCATAACATATGAAAGTGAAAGTTGTACAAACATACATAGGATGATTGTGACTACAATTGCAAGTGAAACTACAATTGCTAGATTGCTACTATTGTTGAAGAAAGAAGATGGTCCCATGATAGTCAAGCGCTTATACTGAGTTAAATTTGCCATGACAAAAGCAGCATGTCGCCAAATATTTTTGTCTGTGTTTCTCTCTTGATCCAAAACTAAGAATTTTGATTTGGTTGCTAGAGTGCAGTAGCATAAAGATTTGAAGAAGAATACTCTAGAGACACAACATGAAGAACCAACAAGATAAATTTAATCCCAAAGTGGAGAATGTTGTAGTTGCTCTAAATTTTATCATATTATAATTAGGACATATGGTAAATCCTATTAAATTTAGTCTAGACTCTAGACTACTTTGACTGGAGCAATTAGATAAGTTGGAATGATATCATTGCCTATGAAGGAGTAAAGCTTCAATTTGCTTGAATTTAGTGTACATGGGGTCCAATTTTTTTTCTAGTAGCACTGAAGTATGATTCTTGCATGAGGTTTATAAATGCACTAGTGATTTAAGGCAAGAATCCAAATCTCAAGTTGTATTGGGCAATATGCTTGATTCAGCACAAACTGATGAATTCCCAATTCCGATACTGTAGTGTAGCAATGGAAGGTGGTCTTGGAAGAAGTATCAAGGGTTTTTGGTAGGGTTTTGCATGTTCTAACACATTTCGGAACTTCCAGAATTGTTTCAGCAAATATATGTGATATTTTAAAAGCATCCCTGGGCCTTGTAATTAAATCTTGGGCCATATTGGGCATATCACCTGATATGTGCCAAGTGGTCGCTGAGAAGGAACCACCATGTTGGCATTTCAATCCTTCGTTTAAGGTTAAAAAATGATGAATGATAAGTGCTGAGACAGCCCAACCTCTTCAATTTCTTTTGCCTGTTGGCAAACAAATTCCTGTCTTTTATCTATAATGGTTTGAATTTGAACATGGCTATCTATAAATAACAGTGCTGTCTATAATTAGTTTAAACATTCCACATGAGGTCTCACTGATAGTAAGGTTCATCAGGTGTCTTCTCTGGGTTTCTGCTACTACAGGCACTGTGAGTTGGACATAGCTTATTTGCGGCCATTTAGGGGAAGTAAATAGTGAGAAGCTTCTCAAATATTGGATACCTTTCATATTCTTATTTGTGGCCATTTAGGGGAAGTACATAGTGCGAGGCTTCTAATATATTGGATATCTTTCGTATTCTCATGGTGGTATTAAGCTATACGGCCAATCCACGAAAAGTTTTGCATGCTCTTGTTAGTTTCTCCTTATATTAATTTGCTTTGTTTTTGTTCTTCACACAGGTGTTGTGATACGATAAGCCAATTCAATTCCACTATAGTTTCACAGCAAAGAAATCACATGCCAATGTCTATTTCACTTTAAGAAATGAAAATGGAATTAAGAGATGCATTTTGAAAGTAGACACATAAGATACACCCTTGGCAATCAATATCAACATTAAAATCACTGAAGGAAATGAACCATAGAATCATTAAAGTCCAGACTGCAATAGAAGCACTTAAGTTAAAATAAGCAACTTCAACAATCTGGCACATAAAATTCAAACCACAAGAACACAAAAAACCTTCCACAACTATAAAATAGAATACAAATGATCTGATTACATCATGAAGCTCAAAGGCAGCTAAAAAGGTGAAAAATGTTAAAAGGAATACCTACAAGAAGCATTGATCATTCAATGCAATAAAGTTTGTTGTAAAATGTGTTAAGTTATAAATAATAAGAACAGCTTCATTTAAGAACCATATTCTCAAAATACTTTGTGCAAATCTCAGTTGCTTAGAAACATATGATGTTACCTTCATAGAAAGCTCCGCAATGCTAGTTTCATCACAGACTGTTAGGACCAATTCCTGTTTTGAAAATCAAGAAAAATATTTTAGTTCTTCAACTCGATAAATCACTCGAACATGACCAAATTTATTTAGTCCATAAAGCATAACTGACCCAATTGTTATGAGTCTTATAGCACTGTATTCATGAGAACAGAGAGGAATAAGGTATGAATAAAAAGTGTTTTGGTTGTACTGTTAAAATTTTAGAATCACAAGATATTTTGCCAACATTTGCAATACCGATCCAATACTAATACCAGCCATGGTCCTATGGACACTCATTTCAGGTTGATAGAGATGTTACACCAACTATCATATCAAACAAAGTTAACAAACAAAACTTACATTTTAACGCCAAAGTTAACTCTCTTTAATGTTTTTATAACTTGTTATCACTCATACAAGGAAATAACATTAATAGAATAAAAATTAGCATGCAAGTTCAATCATGAGGCATAGTTAAATCATTATAAGTTCAATTATAGAATATTACTGAAGCAACTACACTCATGGCTAAGCCTGAACCTGCATGAGCCAAACAGTACATAGTGGTCCAAACCTGGACCAAAACGTGGACCTCTTAATTTCTGGTGATCCTCAGGCAGTACAACACTTACCACCCAGTAAGCCTTCTAAACCATGCTTACTGACCAGTTTCAGCCCATCACCAGGCCTAGACCAGGTTTTCGTTAATCACTTAACCACAGCCCTCCCCTCCCCCTCCCACCCAGCAACATTAAAATAATAGGTGCAACCATTATCCAAAAATCAGGTAAGAACAAGAAACAAATTGATAGATTTTTTCAATTAAATATATGATTAAAACATAGTAAATTGGATGTCCGAAAAATACAAAAAGAGTAAATGTTCTCCCAATATTGTTCTTTTAATAATTTAAATAAGCAAATCCAATCAGTGATTCATTAGTGATAAATATTTACATTTAAAGTCCAAACAAGCTTGCAAGCAATCCTGCATGAACAAATAAAAAAGATTCATATGACAAAATGGAAATAATTTCTTCAGGAAATACCTCAAACCCATTAGGAAAAGTGGATTTCCAAACAGCTTTCTTCTCTAAAGGGCCTTGCGAACTATTTTCTGAAGCAGCTACTGCATTTAGATGTGGTAAATCTCAGATTAAGACACAAATTAAACTAACTATAGCTACAACAACAAAAGCTATGATGTCCTAACTATTTGTAACTCTTTTTTACTTGTTGTGCTCTGTACAAACCAATATATCTTGATTTACAAGGCAAAATCTCTAGTTAAATCAAGAGAGCTCAAATATCTTTTTGTTATTTTTAGCAAAATCTTTATAGATCTCTCTTCACCATTCCTCACACATTTAATATTAATTGACTAACATTATCCATTAACAACATTTGTCATCCTTTGAAGTTTGAACATATACATTATCTTAGATGATTCTTCCTCATTTAGTCATCTATGAGACATCCATGAATAAAGACCTTTTTTTCCTTCCTACTAATTCAGCACCTAACCATCCAACATTGATATCCAACAAAGCTTGGTTGGCCTAAAAATTATCTTACAAGATTTTCCTTTTAATCTATAAGCATCCAATGATCACAGAAAATCTCTGATGCTCCTCTCCAATTTAATCACTAAATTTTTTCAATGGCTTTTCCTCTATGAACAATATTTTTATCAATCTCTCCATTAACTCTATCGAAACTCCCTTCACTCAGAAGAATATTGTTAATCAATAACATAGTCTCTTAAATATGTAAAATAATAGAGACATAACATTAATAGTTGATGTAACCTTATAGAAAACTTGCTAAACATACACCGAGACTATATTATCATACATAGATTTTTTTACATCAATATAATTAGTAGGTACATATTTATTTTTCAAACTAATTATAATATATATCAAGTAATCGTAGACATTTTCTAAGTCAATAAAAAACAATGTGTATCTTTCTTCTTTTCTGTAACTTTTTATTAATTTTATTAATAAATAAATAGTTCCTATGGTTGATTTTTCGAGCATAAAACCTTTTTTTGTGGCCAGTCATTTTTCTTACCTTAAATCATCCTTCCAAAGTTTCAAAATGACTCATTATCTTAATTCCTTTATAATTAAGTAAATTTAAATATATCTCTTATTCTTATAAATTGATACTCAAAAGTCTTCTTCCATCATCAGATATCATTTTAATTTTAAAATTTTATTGAATAAACTAGCTAACTAAATTACTCCTAAATCTCCTAAATTCTACCGTACCTCAATCGTGATACCATTAGGTCCACACTTTTACATAATTTCATCCTTTCTAAAGCTTCTTTTACCTCATTTGTCCTAATTTTATGAACAATATATGACTTTTGAACTTATTAGTGTTTATCTTTGAAGTTATTTATAGAATGTTCATTAAATTCTATAAAAAGATAATTTATCCTTCTTTCCTGAATCTCAATATTATTAATTAGTATCCTTTGAACTTTGTCCTCTATACACCTAGTATTAGCTAAATTTCTGCTCAATCTTTCTCTAACTTTAGCAATAAAAAAATTATTTTCCCCAATCTTAGTATTTAGCTCCCTGTCGAACCTATGATAAGACTTGTATTTGGTAATACAACTACTTTTACCTTTTCTTAGCTGTTGTATTTTAAAAAATCTCCTTTTTTAAATTTTTATTAATCTTTATAGAATTTTGTAGTGATTCCCATTTGAGCTTCTCCACACCACCACCGCCTTTCTCTTTAAGCTACATCTCTACGTTTAGATACTCCATGAATCTCCTTTCCCATGCTTCTAATATTAGTGGCCATGGCAGTGTGGTTTAGCTAACATTAGCTAAGCTCTAGTTAGAGTTAAGAACCATACCTACTCATTATGAGATAGTACAAGCTAGCACACACACACACTCATTATGTGTGTGTGTGTGTGTGTGAAATAAGGTATGCAGTTTATAGATTATATTTCTCTCATCAATTCTTAAGTCTTAACATGACATTATCTTCTCTAAATTCCTTGCTAACTTCCATGTACAGCTAACTTCAATCAAAAGCGAAAACACATGGATCCTAAAACCAAAATTGCAATCTCGGGTACCAGACCAATAATGGTCCGAGCCAGAACCAGTGTAGGTCCAAACCATACCAAGGTATCATGAGTCATTATGCCAATACATACCGTAGAATTGTTTGGGGAGGAGGAAGACAAGAAGGAGAAGGAAGGAGGAGGAGAGATCTTGACATACCATGGATGGCAGGAGCGGTAGTGGGTAGGCAATTGATGGCAGGGCTTGCGATTCAAGCAGTTGTGAGCCCTAAGACTGCATTAAACAAAAGAATATATATATATAGCCAAAACCGGATGCCCAAAATGGGAGCATTCACATCCTGGTCGGCGGTCGGACTGGTAAATACCAGTTGCACACTGAACTGACCAATTTTGCATTCCATGCCTAGAACTACACTTGAAAGAAAGGCCTTATTTTAATTTTACGACATGCATTCATGCATTGTTGCGCTAAGCACCAACATAATATGATGACACTAAGGCAAGCACCTGAAGTATCCAAATTTAGTATCTAAACTTTGAGTTACATTAATGTATTCATGTCTTCATGTAATCACATGGTCATCAATTTCTAGAATATCTCAAATTCTTACTCTTGTAGTTTAAATGGGTATCAAGGTTTTAATACGTAGATAATCAAAAGTGAAAAAGGACAAACCCGTATTCTTTCTAACTAGAATTCATGTCAAACAGAGACAAGCATGTGTGGCTTATCCAATTTTTAACATGAACAATGAATAGTGGTACTTTTGTCTATATTTCTAATCAATATAACTTTAGTAAATTTCTCATGTAATTTTTTTGAAGTACATAAATCAATTGTAATATGATTATAGAATATCTTCTGATGGTTCCTATCAATCTCTGCTGAATATTAAATGCATCAATTAACTAGGACAATCTCATTTCTGACTGTATGATGCATGGATAAATACATTCTTCATGGTTGAGCACACATTATTCTTTTGGTAAAGGGAGGAAGTCAAGAGAGCATAGTTGTTAAAAAGTGATATCCAAATACCATGCAAGAAGTATCTTAATAACAGAAATAAAAAATACAATTTTAGGAAGCAAAGAAGTATCAACTTACCATTAGATGTCAAATCTGCAGTTCTTTCTGAGGCCTTCAGTCTTTTTAGCAAAGACCCCTTTTGTGCCTGACTGACCCAAGCTTTGGGAAAGATAATTCTTTTCCATGCACTATTGGAATGGCGAATCCAATTAGGCTTATCAATAGAAGAATGTGAATTCCAAAGTATCTGAACGGAACCTGAGAAAATGTAATATAGAAAAGATGAGAAATGATTTGCATGTCAAATAAGTTGGAACATTATGACAAACAAAGTTGTTCTTGCAACAGTAAAATTACAGAAATAAATCCATGAGTTAGTCAGCATGCAATTGGGATTCTTGCACTAATCCAGGAAGTGGATCCCTTTTTGATATGTGTATGAAAACAAGATGTTAAATACTCAAATGTCATCTTAAATTATGGAACCTATAAGTGCCATAAGCATATCTTGGAAAAATAATGTCTTAGCAATCAGTCAGTCTAAACAAAAGTTCTAGAAAATCAGCAGATTTAGCAAGTAATCAAAATAAATGTAACTACTTATATGATCTGCTCTGCTGTGAAAAATTCTTGAAGTTCAATGTCAAAAAGAATTTGAACAGTGTTTTTTAGTTCTTCAAGATATACCTATTACTCCTATTACTTGGCCCAGAAGATGGGTGAGTACATGGCAAATTGAGTTTCAACAATAACTAGTCAACTTGGACCAGAAAGAACATACTCAAATGTGCATGTGAACTTAGATTTTAAAGAAAAGATAGCAATTCAACAATCTTGGATTTGCAGGAGACATCTAGTTCAACTAGCATTATGGATATATTCAACCATGATGAATGCAAATTTTCTCATAAGCCAAAAAATTTATAGAATCATAGTTAACCTGCAACACTCAGTATAGGATGAGGTCATAAATCAGCTTATTTCGCACTACCATATATCTCCATGCAACTCTATGAATGATGACCACGCAAAGCTACATCAGCTTCTAGTGGTGAAAGCGCACTTCACTAACAAACACAAAATGATACCAGAGTTCAGAGTGACTGGCAGGCCCTCGTTCCAGAAACTTATAGGAGCCAACAAACTAATCCACCTATCTCCGTTCCTAAAGCATAATTTCTTACAAGAACTAACGAAACATGAACTGACGCTCTAGAACGAGAACTATATCATAGCAGTCTCAGCCATTATGTGGACAAAATGCCAAAGATTGTTCAAGAACCAACACCGAGGTTCACAGAACAAGTTCGTAAAGCAATCCTAACTTTCTGACATGCAAATTTCTTGGATCTTAACTATATCTTGGTTCCCGGTAACAATTACTCCAGCACACAAGCACCGTCGTCGTCGGCGCAACAACGAATCAGAAGTTCAAGGAAGCAGAGAAGTAAATTGACGGAGCCTCGCATACCGTGTGAACCGAAGGCAGCGATTTCCATGGAAGTAGGGATTTGTCGGAGACTGGAAAGGCGGTTCGCACGACAGAGAGATCGGAATAGTGATGAGAGTTACATATATGTCGGCGTATGGTTTCGTGGAGATCTCCGCCATCGTTCGCCCTGCCGCGTATACCCTGACTTCCACCCAACGAGTCGGAGATTGCGAGCGAGGTACGGACGCGTGCATGGTAATTTTATGCGGGAAGTTCTTTGCCGCTCCCCAGTCTCATCCGGTTCACTTCGGTCTGGGTCAGCTGAACCAAGAATTCCGAGTCAATTCGGTTCTCGTTCAGCTTTATTGTATTATTAATGGATTATTTAAATTTCCTCTAACTCACAAAACAAATTTTATTTTGTGTTTCATTATTTATCAATTCTATTTTAAATCTTAAATCAGTTTGTACTTTATCATTTGGAAATCTCATATATTTAAAGTGGGATCCATATGTTATATTAAATTTTCTATACTTAATATTTAATTTAATTTTTTTATTATATTAGGATTTTTATATTTATAAAAATAAAATATTTAATCTCGAGATTCACTCGTTATATTAGAATTTTTATATTTATAAAAATAAAATATTTAATCTTTTTTCTTCTCATGTTATAAATTTTGTTGATAGAAATACAATGATAAATCGAAATAAGATAAAGTTTCAGTAGTAATTCAGCAGTAAATTAGTATTTTCATTGAGGATAAATATTATTAAATATTTTATTTTTATAAATATAAAAAAAAATTAATGATAATTTTTAAAAATATAAATATCGAGATGTTCAAATAACCATTTACCAGAATAATACGTAATTAGCCTTCAATTCTTGTGAGACACAAAAGACGTCCACTTGCTCCCCCGGATCTCGCGCGCCGCCGCGTCGGACGCCCGGGCGGCCTCCTCCTCCGTTCCGTACGTCCCCAACCACACCCTCGCCCACTTCCCCGACGGCCGCAGCCGTATCCCCTTGTACAACGTCTTCCGCAGCCTGTCCCCTGGCCCCGCCGCCCTAGTCTTCGTCTCCTCGCACTCCTCCCCTGCGCCAAAATCGTGCAACGAGTTCACCTGCCGAGAACCGGAAGAGAAGGGGTTTCCTCGGTTGTTTTACCATGATGTGTGTCGAGAGTGTTGCCGGGCTCGAGATCACCGCCATCCATGAAGTCAGATACGATCGCTCCGCCGCCCCCTCCTCTCCTCCGGCCCGCCTCGATCGATCGAACGAACCAAACTTCTCAGCAAAGCTCGCTCGCTCCCACCATCCCCAAGCCCACTTCTCCCCCTCCCAATATACAGCCTCACCTTTCGATCTCATCGCTAATTCTGACAGAAGGCGAGCGTTCTAATTCTTTTTTTTGTCCTTAATTTCCGATAAAATTAATAATATTATTTTATGCTGGGGATGATGCGGTGCATGCGATACACGCTGCGGGGAGAGACGATAGCGTGCCATACGCCGGTGACGCGATGCCCCGCGCGGCGTCGACAGCCGCCGGTGTAACTCATGCCACCACGTCGATCCGAGACGAGCACTTCATTCACGGATCGTGCCACCGAGCGACGCGTCCAAAGCCAAATGCGTCCCCTCGCTGCAACAAGAGAACGAAAGATGACGGAGTTTGGGAGTTGAAGAACGAGTGGCGTCACGCAAAGGGCGCATTCTGTTCATCAACCCATGCCTTGGCTTGTGATGATCTCGTCATGAAATTTGTCTACCAATCTCTAAATATTTCGAAGTATATGGTTCATTTAGATGGTTGCCAAAATTTCTTACACGATCCAATCTGAATTCACTCCAAAAGCGCCAGAATGCAGTAATCTACGATTAAATTTTAAGAAAATACAAGTTTAAGGAGACTTAAGATAAATTGATCTGCATCAGTTTAAGGAGACTTAGGATGTACATGTATTTGTTTATGTAGATCCATTGCATTAAAACCTTGCACAAAGTGTTTTATCGAGTGTGGAATGTAACAGTTAATTATCCTTTAGATATGAAACAAGCATGATATATAAATGAAATAAAAGAAAATGATTGCTTATTGATTTCTTTACATGACTTAAATTATAAAGAAGAATACATTGCAATTGATATTTTTATTAAAATAGGTTCATGTACCTTCATGAACACATGTGCATCAATACATGTGTTAAGAAAGGTACATGAACCTATTTTAATCGAGAACAAACACTAGTACCATATATAACAAATTAAAATTTGATATATAGAGATATGATTGAAGAGTTACTTGTCAAGACCAAACAAGTGAATGTTACTTGTCAAGGAAGTAAAGGAGAATAAAATCAGTATAAGTCCCATAATATGATGATAGAGACTATGCATGAGAGTTAAAATTTATCTTTTCATTTACTAAGAGAAATTATTTGGAAAACATAAGGGTGTTAAAGTAGGTAATTGAAAAAGATAAGGAAGCGACAATGAGTCTCAAGGAACTTAACTACATAAAACCAAACATCGATAAGGATTGAGGTAAACTCGGAGGAGTACCATAATGATGTAAAGGTGGGTCTATCGATCATAAAAAAAGGGAGCAGATGTAAAGCGACAAATAGTAGTGCATGGGCATAGCAACGCTATGGTATCACAGAGGCAGGACTTTCGTGGAGTCATCGATCTCTTGCTCTCATAGAGGAAGAGTATTTTATTGTAAAAGAGATTGAGGAGGTGAAGAATGCAGAAGTAAACTCTAAATACCAAGATAAAACTGAAGGGTAGAGGCCAAAAAACTTTGTAAGACTAGTGTCAACGAATTCCTTATCAAGATTATTGAAAGTGTGAGACTTTGGGTCAATATATGAGAGCGTGACCAAGGAATAGAGTAGATAGTACTCAAAGGAATAAGTGATTGAGATGATAGAGAAGATGGTGTAACCCCACAAGTGACCATAATTATCATAGACTTACTATGAGTTGAGGTAAAATTTTACTTTTTTTCGGACAAAACTTCTTGTGTTCCAAATAATCGATGATAATGAGGAGATAAATTGCAATAGCTAACTCAATGTAATGTATGCAAATATTTCGAGTGTCTTAAAAGTGTAAATGAAAGCTAATAACCGGTTTAATGTATAAAATAGAACCTCGATGAGACAGGCAAAGTTGAATGAGCTTTGCCTTTTGAACTTCTAAGAGAATGGACGAAACTTTATATTCTAGTTCTCCTACTTATCCAGCAAAAGAGCTTTGCAACAATGAAAGACAACAATTATCAAATCCTCACCAATGATGATCGATTTTATCGATCGTAGATTGTTCGTATTATTTTCCAACAAAATACCAATTGAAAATTGAAGTGCTACGAACCTATTTGGATGTGACAATTAAGAAGAAGAGGGATCGATGGGTAAATTTTGCAGATGAGAGACCATAAAAAAATTTAAAGTATGTGAGGTGATTTTCGTTAAAGCTCTAACAGATATATATTCAGTTAAAATGATATGAAACGTTTGAGAAATTAACGCATAAAAAAAATATATTTTTCTTCATCTAAAGGATATATAGGAATAGTAAAATATCGATACAAACTCAAATGATCCTATACCATAGTCAAAATTATTGATAAATTAAAATAATATTAACAGATCAAAGTTTAACTACTTAATAATAACAAGAGTAAAAAATTAAAGATTCAGCAAGCTTTCAGATTAAAAACGAACCAAACATATCATATCCATCGAACTAACCAAACTTCTCATATGGTATCCTCAAAACTCGCTCGCTCCCACCATCCCCAAGCCCACTTCTCCCCCTCCGAATATGTAGCCTCACCTTTCGATCTCATCATTAATTCTGACAAAAGGCGAGTGTTTTAATTTTTTGTTGTCCTTAATTTCCAATAAAAATAATAACATTATTTTATGCTGGGAACGTTGCGGTGCATGCGATGCAAACTATGGGGAGAGACGATAGCGTGCCGTACGCCGGTGACGCGATGCCCCGCGCGGCGTCGACAGCCGCCGTAGCCAAATGCGTCCCCTCCCTGCAACAAGAGAACGAAAGATGACGTCGTTGGGGAGTTGATGAGCGAGTGGCGTCACGCAAAGGGCTAAATGGAGAAAAGGGCGCATTCTGTTCATCAACCCATGCCTTGCCTTGTGATGATCTCATCATGAAATTTGTCTACCAATCTCTAAATATTTCGAAGTATATGGTTCATTTAGATGGTTGCCAAAATTTCTTACACGATCCAATCTGAATTCACTGCAAAAGCGCCAGAATGCAGTAATCTACGATTAAATTTTAAGAAAATACAAGTTTAAGGAGACTTAAGATAAATTGATCTGCATCAGTTTAAGGAGACTTAGGATGTACATGTATTTGTTTATGTAGATCCATTGCATTAAAACCTTGCACAAAGTGTTTTATCGAGTGTGGAATGTAACAGTTAATTATCCTTTAGATATGAAACAAGCATGATATATAAATGAAATAAAAGAAAATGATTGCTTATTGATTTCTTTACATGACTTAAATTATAAAGAAGAATACAATGCAATTGATATTTTTATTAAAATAGGTTCTATGTACCTTCATGAACACATGTGCATCAATACATGTGTTAAGAAAGGTACATGAACCTATTTTAATCGAGAACAAACACTAGTACCATATACAACAAATTAAAATTTAATCATATAGAGGTATATATAGAGGTATGATTAAAGTATTTGGAGAGTTAAATTGCTCTAGAGCTTATATTTGCTTAAGAGTATTGGGCTGACAGCCCATATTCAACCTAAGGTAGGTTTTATCAACCCACAACTCACTCCTTTTAATCTAACCATAATTTATATTGGGGGGGTATTGTGGCTATAAAAAATGTAGAAAAAGGCAGCAAGATGTGATTTTTAGTAGCCACGGGATTCTAAATAAAAGGAAGAGAAAGAAAGGAAAGAAGACAAGGACAACATAGAGCGACTATTCCCAATCATCTAGTAGTGCTTTCATCTCAGGTTAGATCAGATCTATAGTAGATTCTTACTGTAATTACTTAGGAAGAATTAGGGAGGATTTAGATATTATACACAATGACGTGATCCTTGTACCCTAGTTATTCTCTTGTGATTGTTGCTAGGTTTTGGACAAGA